GGGGGGGGGGGTGAGGGTGGGGGAATATACTGGCCTTTTAGACAAGGGTGTGGATGTGGTGGTGAGAAGGGGCTGGACCCATGTCCTCCTGTAAATAAGTTGGAGAAATTTCTTTTCTTTCTCTAGGTGTTAAAAAAACAGAACCAGCTAAACCATTAACAAGCAAGTACTACAGTTTCAGGTTGGGAAACCCTCTGGGCCTGAAGCCTCCTGGACCGGCCCTGGGACAGCAGGCTTGTTCGTTCCCATTTGCCCTTATGGGGCCTTTTATGGACTGAACGCTTGGGTTTCCCTAAATCCATGTGTTAAAGCCCAAATTCCCAGTGGGGCTGTACTTGGAGATGGGGCCTTTAAGGAAGAAATTAGGACGAATGAGGGCCAAAGGGTGGGGCCCCGATCCACCAGGTAAATTAGAGTCCTTTTAAGAAGAGACACCAAAGGGCTCTCTCTCCATTTCCTCCCAAACCCTTCAAGAGAAAAGCCCATGTGAGGACACAGTGAGAAGGTGCCCTCTGCAAGCCAGGAATTGGCCCTCACCAGGAATGAATCGGCTAGCACCTTGATCTGGGACTTCCAGCTTCCAGAACCGTGAGAACAGAAATTCCAGTGAGGTAAAAGCCCCCAGTCTATGGTGTTCTGCTAATGAAGTCTGAGCAGACTAATGTGTCACAAAAAGACAGAAAGGAATGGAGATAATTAGAAGAAAAGATGGATCATTTGGGAAAATCAGGTCCAAGAGCTGTAATTAATGAAGGTCCACTCCCTACCCCTGTGTCCACAGCCTTGGGCTAGAAAAGACAGAAGTCCCAGGGATATCTGTAAATATGCAGATTGGCCTTCCTGCTCCACACGTCTGGGAAGAGGCCTTACCCAGGGAACTCATTAAAGCCCCACGTCCAGGAAGTCCAGCAACAGTGAATGAATCAGTACAATCCCGCAAACCTCGGGTTTCTCAGAGGGAGGCTCTCTGCACTGTCCAGGAGGTGCACAAAAGCAGTCCCTCTCTTAAGCCAGGTCTCAAAGAGGGAAGCAAACCTCAAAGAGGACCCACAACCTCAGGGTGTTTGTTTTGGAGTTCAAACAGACATGTGTTCTTAAAGGGCAGGTCACAAAGCGTCACCGGCTCTATGCTTCTGCATGAACACAGGTGAGGCCCTCATGAACACTAACTGAAAATACTAAGAGCCTCTGTCTGAAAACCCTGTTACACTCACACAGAAGGTAGGAATTCACATGTTCTGACATTCAACTGGCTTCTGGTCTTCCAGGGGTGGGATAGCACCCCTGCAGAAACAGGACAGTCACTGGTGCCCTCTGAGGGCTTGGGATAGTCCCCTGTGCCTGTGTGCTGTGCACCCATGAGACCCAGCCCCCTAGAAGGAGGCGGACAGCAAACAGCCACCATTTTTCATTAAGCGTTGATAGAATAGCAAATAAAGAACATTTTTAGTGCTAAGCCTTCTTGTTTTCTTTCTAGACTAAAACAAAGCCTTGGAAAACAGCGTCGCCCCCCACCCTCATCTTTATTTTCAAACAGGAATGGCGAGCTCGACTGCTCACAGTCTGGCGTTGGCTGAACCAGACCACACAACCAGGCAGGTTGGGAACTGGCTGGTGAAAGGCTAAACTGGAAGCTCCCATAGGGTTTTAGTGGGAGACCCAGTTAACCCAGCCACTCTGTATACTGTCTGTCAAAGCTCTAGTCTAGAGTGTCCCCGAACCAGTAGACAATGAAATTAAGGACGCTCTGACAAACCTGGGGCACTGAGATGGGGACAGATACGCAGTGCCCACAGCAGAGGTTTAAAATTTCACTGTCGGAAAACACACTAGAAGGTACCTGGCTGCCGTCCTACTGTGTAAGATGTTGAGGAACTTTGGAGAACGTAACTCTTGGAGCCATCTCTCTATACTTCAGAAGGGAATGGTTTAATTAGTAAAACTTAGGGAGGGATATTCCATTTGAAAAGAAGTCTGGCCTGGCTGGCGTGGCTCAGCGGTTGAGCATCGACCTAGGATCCAGGCGATCACGGTTTAGTTCCTGGTCAGGGCACATGCCCAGGTTGCGGGTTCAATACCTTATAGGGGGCGTGCAGGAGGCAGCTGATCAATGACTCTCATCATTGATATTTCTCTCTCTCTCCCTCTCTCTTCCTCTCTCTGAAATCAATAAAGATATATTTAAAAAATTTTAATAATAAAAACAAGTCTGAGCTGGGCTGTTCCATTTACACGCTATGCGTGTTTTTACACAACGTGAGCAACAGGGTATACGCTCTCGAAAATTCTTCTCAAATCAAAGACAAGAATAAACAGAATTCAGAATAGCAGGTCTCCGTAATTCTGTGATTGTAGCTGCCTTTCTAGGTTAGAAGGGTTGTCTTGAATGTGACATTGAGAACCACTCTTCATCCTTTTATGTCTAACAAAACAGAAGTCACCAAAAGGACTGATTGTTACCCTCTGACACCCACCTCAGCAGATCCCTGTTCTTGCCAAAAATGACACTAATGCCTGAGGTCCGAGCCTTCTCCTCCCGTCCACCCACTCATCCCTGGCTGCGGTCTCGGTCTTTCAGGGCGACCAGCAGTGATCACTATTTCATGAAGCAGGCAACCTTCATGATTACTCCAGATGCACAATATTGTTTAAACTTCGAATTCCAGGAGCATTTTCTGGAAGCCACAAATTCCCAAACTGCTGGCAGCAGGATGCTTTTTATTGTTGGCTGGTCCTCTAGGGAGTTAATAAATATTCATTGGTAGAGAGCAGCAGAACTGATTGAACCACTTTCATTATTATGTGCTCTGCAGGAGGTCTTAGTATTTGCTGGAAACCTCTGGGAGTTGCCAGGGGTTGATAATAAGAAGCTTTTGTCTGGTCCTTAGGGAGAGAGGTGGGAAGGAGAAAATAGCTCGAATATTCATTATCATAAGCCACTTTCTGGATCTTATCAGGAGTTAGAAACCGCTGTGAGCATCAATAGTGTGGGGTCTATGGATGTTCTGTGATAAGCTATAAAAGATGCAATATATTTTTAAATGAATGCTTAGGAATCAGGTTAATTCATGGCAATTTATCACACAGTAATCACTTAATACGTCAAATCAATTCTTATAGACTACTTAAACCTGGTGGCATATTTTAGCACTCATTTATTTTCAAAGTACCCATCCCTGTGGATGGATTATTTGGGCTTTGGGGAAAAGAAGTGATTTCAATTTTTTTTTTAAACCTTCAAGATGATATACCCACAAATGATAATTCCAAGGTCATAAATATTAGGAAGTTACTCATAAGGATAAATGCCATTTATGTACAAGGTCTTTTTCTTTTATGTTCAGGATCTGAGTTCTGAGATTAATTTTATAAAGACTTTTGGAAACATACAAATATACCACCAACAAAAAAAATCTCTATCTATTTCTAACTAGTTGTTTATCAACAGTTGAAACGCTCTTATATTTTACAGAATAGCTCCAGCAGGTCTGAACCACTCCTTGCTGAAGAGTTTACAAATACCACGTAGGAAATGACACTTCCAGCGTTCTGGTTTTTGTCTTTTTCTTGCATGTGTCTACAATTTGTTCTCTAACTTTACGTTTGGTTTTTTGTATTTCTACTTACTGGAATGCCTGTGAAGGTAACTGGAGGAGATTGCCAGGAAATGCTGAAGCTGCTGCCATTGGGGGTGAACTTGGCCGATCCTGGAATGGTCACAGGGGGCGTGGCCTGTTACACAAAACAGAAATGGTCACGGGGGCGTGGCCTGTTACACAGAAAACAGAGAAGTGGTCACAGGGGGCATGGCCTGTTGCACAGAAAAAGTCATAGGGGAGTGGCCTTTTTCATAGAAAATAGAAATGTCTTGGGGCCCCATTACATAGAAAACAGGGAAAACTCTTAAGAAAGAACATTTTTCCTCAGATCCTTAGCTGTCATTACCAAGGTAGGGCTTCAGAAATGATCTCAACTGTATTAATAACACACTAATTATCTAATAGTAATACATGAACCATGGTCAAAGAGGGTAGCTAGAAACTTTTTATATATCTAAGCAATCTATCTAAGGTATAAAAAGAGATGTTTTTTGACTATTGATTTCTGTATTTTAGGACACCTGTGAGATATAATTCCTCATTATCAAATTTGGAAATAAATAAACACTTTTATATAGTGATGGTGGGTGTGTAAATTGGTATGACATTTGGGAAGGTGGTTTGGTAATATATATAAAAATTCCTAGTATTCTGTATATTAGCTGTTCCACTTATAGAATTCATTCTAAGGAAATAGATACAAGGATGTTCATTGCAGAACTATGTACTACATATATAAAAAACAAGAAGCACAAATGTCCAGTAATAGGAAAATAGGTAAATAAATCATGATATACCCACAGGGCCATTACACATGATGTTGTTGAAGAATGCTCCTTGGCATGAAAAAACCTTCATGATACATTCAGTGGAAAAGCAAAGCACAGTAAAAACAGTGCTACAATAGATTCCTTAATTTTTTTCTACACATACACATAGAAGAAAGTCTTGAAAGAACATACAAAAATTACTAACCAAGGGGCTTTCTTGTCATTGGGATTAGGAATACATTTTCTTTCTCTGCTTCTGTACTTAGTATTTTCTATGCAGGACATTTATAGTATCTATAAGCAGAGAAGTACCGATATTATGAATATAGGGTTCAGGAAGGATCTTCTAGGTCACCAAGTGTGTGTTCCAATTCATTTTATAGATGAACAAAATAATTTCATTAAGTTGGTTCAAGCTCCTGATTTTGGACCTAAATTCAGCGCTGACAAACACAAACAAAGGAATGAATTATTCTCTTTGACCAACATCACAAGAGCCAGGAATAAAATTTATTGCACTATCCAATCTAATAATCCACTTTATTCCACTGTTCTTGAGTTTAAGTCTGCTAAATAAATGGCCAGATTCTTCTTCTACAGATTTGGTTTTTTTGAATGATAAATACAGTTGCTGATGACAGTGGTTTTGTCTCTGGCACCACTGGAAAATATTTTGGCAATACTTAGCAGCAGCCGTAACTGTTCAGGCTGCAGCCTCTGAGTAATGACTCTTCTGTGAATTCAAAGAAAAAAAAAAAGCTACAGGCACAGAGATGGTCACAGTAAAGTTATTAATGCCAGTGAAAAACTGGATAGACTAGAAAGTAGACACCTAACAATAAGAGAATGATGGAAAAAATTTGATGAAAATGAACTCAGCTTCTGGGCTACATACAGTGTGTGATGATGTTTTTCTATTCCTAGGTCAGAACTCGACTGCTTTTGGTCAGGGGCAAAGTGTCGCTCCGAGTCCCTGGCACGTCACCTGGTAAGCGTGGTCAGTGTGCACGAGGTAGAGGGTGGTGGGGGCCGAGCGGCTCAAGGGTGTCATCAGTTTAGTCTCGGTTTTGGCACAAGGGGTTTCTGTTCGGCTTGAATCCGGGATGGGGAAGGTGGGAGGTGAAGCGAGGGACTGGGAGGGCGAAGCTGGGGCGAGGCTGCTCAGTCCGTCCGCCACAGAGTCTGTGTTGAGCTTGATCTCCGTGTAGTAGAAGTCCTCTTCGCCATCGCTGTAATCGGAGTCCCCAACACGCCTAACGCAAAGGACAGCAAAACAGTCAGACTAAACCATCTCGCACGCGCTGTTCCCTCTGCTGGAATGTTCTTCCTTTCTCTTATCTGCCTGGCAAACTCTTACTCATCCTGCAACACTCAACTATCCACCTCCACGGAAGATTTCCTTGACCTCTTGGAGCAATTTATTCAATCAGTCAACCAATCAATTGCTTATTCACCAATTTATTGAGAATCAACTATGTGCAGACACTTTTCTAGTCTCCTGATATCAGGGTGACCAAATCTTAGATGGACTCCGCCTTGATGGAAGTTACATCTGGTGGGAGACGCAGACAAGGAACCCACAAATAAATAGGTATTTAATGCATTGGGTAGTAATAAATCCCAGAAGGAAAAATTAAGCGGCATAAGAGTGTCCTTAAGCAGGGTAAATGATGGAGAGTGTCTTTTAAACCAAGCTCAGAGGGAGCCTGGCTGAGGTGATCTGAGCAGAGAGCTGGATGAGGCGAGCCCGCGCCAGACCGCAGGGATACACAGTGAGGAGCAGGGGGGCCTGGGGTGGGGGTGGCTTGGTGTCTAAGAAGGGCAGAGGCCAGCGGCTGGGGCAGCAGGGAGCTGGGGGAGGAGAAGCAGCAGAGGCGAGGTCTGAGGGTTCTGCAGCCCATGGGAAGGGCTCTGTGTTGTCCTCTGAATGTCACGGAAGCCACTGGGCTTTGAGGAATCTCAGCACCTTCTTACATGGTTTGCTCAACATCGACGACCCAGTGAGGGCGGGACAGTGGCTGGGAGGGGGTTCGGGATATGCGTTGAAGACTAGGATTAGGACTTCATTCCTAAATGTTAGTTCCCCTGTGCTCCCTCGCAAGGATGTTCATTTTATTTAGTTCACTTTATTAAATTACTTCACGTTTCTGTAAGTTTTTAGCCTCTGTCGCCTCCTTCCGACAGTCTCCAGGGCCAGTGTCGCTCATCTTGCTGAGGCTCCGCACGGGTCAGCCTATCTGCACACAGCAGGTGCCTATTCAGTGTTGAATGAATGAACCGGGCCCATGCTGCTGAGGCGCGATGATGACGAGCATGAATTCAGAGTCGTGGTCCTGGGTTCGAATCCTGCACCGGCCGTGGAGCTGTATGCGAGGTTCTGGCGGCCGGCCGGCCCCGGAGCCCAGCCCCTCACTGAGGCAACAGGGCAGCGCAGTGCTGCCCGGGGGAGGGCTCGGTGAGCACCCGCGGCGCTGAGCGGCGTTCCTGACTCCCAAGGAGCACGCAGTGCTCACAAAATCAGAACGAGGTCCATGTTGGAAGGCAGAGAGTGTCCTGAGTCGTAGAAGTTTGTCACAGCGTTTTGAGTAAATCAGAATAACTGTCCAAACCTTAGGACACGTTTATTCCACGGGCCATTTTCAAAAGAAGCGGCGCATATCTAGTGACCTGGCCCTACGGGTGGCTTAGCAGGGCTCTGTGAGTCTCCCTCCCCTGGGGTCTCCCGCATTTCATGGACGGATCACTGACTCGCAGAAAACTTTTTCCACTTCTGCTACCTACAGAGAACCTAAAATAAAACCCTCCTTTTCTCGATCTTTCTGTTTGGCCAAATCTGTGGCATCTCCCACCCCCATTCCACGTGCCCCAAGTACTCAGGCAGAGCGTCTGGGAGGCCTTGGCTTTCCGACAGCATTCCATGGAAGGCTCGGGAGAGTGGGACGAAGAATGTGCGCCTGCTGTTCTATTCCTGTCCCCGCTTCCTTTCCAGTCAAGGGCAGGCCGAGTTGCTGCTGGCTGCAGAGTCCCACACACAGGCGGGGGAGATGGTGCGTCCCACCCGGGGATGAGTCAGGATCAGCCCGGAGCACGAGAACCGAGCGACAGTCGGAGAACAACGGTACCTTCCACACTGGCAGGTGTGCACTGCATGACCTCAGACGAAGAGGCAGTTTCTTTGGGCTTTGGTGTCCACAAGCAACACGGACTAAAAATGTCCCATCATCCTGTAGTCACGAAATTGAGCTCATGGGCTAAGGCAAAGGTGATTCCTCTCTCCGGTCCCAGGGATCTCCTGAGAGCCCAGGCCAGTCCTGGGAGTGCTGGCAGGCTGTGAATCTGAGTCCCCACGGCCGTTTTAGGGCACAGAGTGAAAAGGGAGCCCCAGGGAAGCAAATATAGCAACTGCACTGTGAACCTCGCCCACCGGGAGAGCGCCAGGAGCTCAAAGGAAACCACAAGGTGCGACTTGGTCTGCAGACTCGGATGTGGCACAGGCTTCTGCGCAGCGCTGAACAGGGTTCTATTTTCTGGGCAGATGGACTTAAAGACACCTCAGAGGGGAGCACTGCCAGGTTTCCTCCAGGAATCTTCAGGAACAGGACTGGGGCATCTGCCCACAGTGCTTCAGGGGGACCCTCTGGGCCACACCCCCTGGGTGAGCTGCATGCTGCCTCCAAGGGACTGTGTTCCCAGACATCAGCCCCTCTGATTGGGGAAGAGGTCCCTGCTTTTCTCCGGTCATGGAAAGACCCATCCACACGTCAGCAAAATCACCTTAGAACCCAGTTATTTTCTTTTTATACCACTTTTATGGATGTTGCATTTCCTACATTTATTCCTTGCTGGGCAAAGTGACTGTTATGTCTATTTGTCATCTTGTTGAAAGGACTCCTCTGTGTCCAAGCATCTAGGGGCTCGGGCATGCATCTGGGTTTGCTGTCTGCACACCGGTCATGACTTACAGCTTCTCAAGGTCCCTTTTCAGTCCCAGATACCTGGACGAGAGGATCCTGGAGCCTAAAGGACAAGACTGAAGAACCACCGCTGCCCCAGGGATGGCCCCTCAGCACTGCGGGTCCCAAAGCCTCTGTTTGTCTTTCCTTAGAAAGGTTTTAATAAGACAGAAGGCAGTGTAGAAAATGATAGAACCAGGTCACCAACCATCCTGACCATAGCAAAAGCAGCTTTGATGGACACAGTGGTGCTTAAACCCTTTTTAGGCTTTATGTGCCTTTGAAGCTCAAAGTCACAAATACTCTCCATTGTGGGGCAGAGGGGGGATGCACATTTCAGGGGGGTCCTACCCTATCCTAGTGTTGTATTTTTTACAAATCGCTCTCACCACATTTTATTTTTGACCTTCACACGTGAAGCCCCTGCAGGGTTGATCGTATTATTAACCTCACCTTCAGAGGGAACAGGCGCTCAGAGCAGTGACTAACATCACTCAGGACAGTACAACCTGGCACCCACGATCTTCCCACTGTGCAGTGCGGGCCTCTGTTATCTGCAGTGGCCATCTCCATGGTGATTTGGGAGCCCCCACAAGCCCAGGCCCTTCCTGTGCTCAGAGCCTCTAAGGCTCGGCACGCTGGGTCCTGCCTGAGCGGTGGCCCTAGTGGGCACTGAGCACCCTGCACCCAGCTCCAAAGGCAGGGTGGCCTCACCCGAGGTGGACGTTCCGGATGTGTTTCTGGATCCCTGCCGCAGTACTCAGCACCTTCCCACAGTTCTTCCAGAGGCATTTAAACATCACCTTCATGGAGTTCTAGAAAGGGGAGGAGACATTACATTAAAATGAAGACGAGCCTATCAATGTTGTCTTAGGGCCACCCCGACACATTTTTTTCCTTACTTTTATTCAAAGCACATCACGACTTCACAACAATAATGGACAGATCCTCACACTAGGAGTGTCTTCTGCCCATTTTTCGAACGATGAAGCTGTACTATTCAAAACTATCTCTACCTGCTCCGCGCCTGGAGGCTGACTTGTACCAGTGGCCTCTGCCCATGGGTCTCAGGTTAGGGCTGGCACTGGGATACAGGAGGCTATGGGCTCCCCAGCTGCCTTTCTGCCCGGCCACAGGTGGGCGTGGCTACATTTCTCCTCTGGAAACTACAACTTCTGTTGGTATTTCCAGAGTTTTGGTAACTTTCTGGGTTCTGGAAACCCCTCCCTTTGCGTGTCTCTTCAGGCTTAGGGGTGGTAATGGCCTTGCCCTGTCGTTAGCCCCTTAGGGTTTCCCCCAACACTGTCTGCACCTTTGTAGCCTCTTCATCAAATACTTAAAATTAAAAAAACCCCACAAACTTATTGATTTGAGAGAGAGAGGACAGGAGAGAGAGAAAAAAAATGGATCGATTTCCTGTCCCACCCATCCATCCATCCATCCATCCATCCATCCATCCATCCATCCATCCATCCATCCACTGGTTGATTTTTGTGTGTGCCCCAGATCAGGGATCGAATCCAAAACCTTGGTGTATCGGGACAATGCTCTAAGCAAGTGAGCTACCCAGCCAGGGCCATCAAACTCTTTTTAATTACTCCAGTGAGGACATCATCTGCTTCCTCAAAGGACCTGATGGATACAGGGGAAAGTAGGTTATAAAATAATTTGAACAACATGATTTCTTTTGGGGGGTGGTATGTAATGCAAATAAACATGCATTCTTGCACAGCAAAAACATTGGGGAGGGGTAGCTTATTTTGACATCAGTTTCCAAATGTAAAAATTAGCCTATTTTTAATTTTAAAAAGGTATTTCTTTAAAAATGGAGGTCGCCCTATGATACATGCATGACTAATTTTGGAGAGTAAAAAGCACATTAGTGGGATGAGCTCAACTCTAATGAAATCAAGGGTCTTCTCGGTACATAGGTGGAGACGCTCTCAAACCAGGAGGCCCCTTCCATGGCGGTGGAGTGCTTGTAAGTCTCCTAACTACATCCAATGGAAATAAGTCCTCGTGTACAGACAGACTCGCTCTTACACTGCAGGAAAGTGAGCCTGGGAGCAGGAGACAGGAGAAAACAGCTAAATAAACACCGCCCAGCTCGCCAAGGGGCCCAAGCTCGGCCCAGGAAGCAGAGTTACAGCGCCAAGTCTGACTGCGACCATCTGATTGAACCCTGGCTCCTTCTGGCAGCTCGACCGAAGTTCACGAGGCTGAAGGTCCTAGGGAGGGAGGCCACCGTGGGCTGGCACAGCCCTGTGCTGAGGTCTCCCACATGAGTGCCTGGTCTGACGCAGCGACACCAAGGGCAGCCGAAGCTCCCGGGGGGACCAGCAGGCTCGGGCCGGCGTGCAGTTCCTGGCAGGCTCTGCAGAATCACCCAGCTTCGGTGCTGTGGCCCAGGCCCTGAAGGCTCTCCGTCTCTGCAGAAGCTTCTGGACTGTCTCTGACACCAACTGCCTTGGGGGCTACAGGCTGAGGTCTCGGCCCTCGCCGCCTCTCCCATGAAGCCTCGGCTCTGGTGTGAGTTGTTGCCGACTCAGGGTTCATGGAGCGGCTTCTGCTTTCCTCACAGAACCCAGACCGATACTCAGGACTGACAAGACGACTGCTGGTGGTCACCTTCAGTCCCGGGGGAGGGGCATGGCTGCATTTTGAAGAATATACTCATGCCCTGGGATCAGTCCAATCAAAGCTCTATTCCAGAACTCCCTTGACTGTCCAGTTCACCACACAGCAGCCTTCGGTTAGTACCAAGGTGCTTTTTCTGAGGCACCTGAGAAGATCCTCATGTACGTCTACACACCATTAGGGTGTGATATCTGTACATGTGTGTGTGGGTGTGTATATTTGTGTGTGTACATGCGTGTATGTGTGTGTGCTGGGGATGGAGGTTCCTACACCCAAGTTCCCCAAGAGGACCAGGCTCCTTGAAGGAAAGGAGCGTTGATGATCCTGCACAGGTGAGTCTGCTCATGACACAGGGTCCTCAGCTGGCCTCAGGTGGGAGGAACCCACACTGCTCGGCAGAGGCTCCGACGACCCCACTCAGACCCTCAGCAGATTCCAAGACTGAGAAGTGAACAGATGTATTTCAAACATCAGTAACTGCCGAGAAGCTGACAGGGCTTCCAGTCCTTTCCTTTACTGGGAAGGCAGCCTTCTACATGTCACCTCACCACTTTGGGGCTTTATTTCTTTATTTGTAAAACAGGAAGACTGAACAAGATGAGTATTTCGTGCCTGTGAGGTGTGAGAGGTTGATGCAAAGTGATGGGTGAATTCAAACATTTACCAAGCATCGATGAAACATCTCCCACCTACATGCACTGTTTACTGATGCTGTGATGATAAAAAAAATTAAAACATTTTTGTAAATGGAATAATACGGAATGTATCCTTCAATGTCTGGCTTCTTTCCTCGGCATGATGACTTTAAGCTTCAGGCATTGCTTCGTGTTATCGGTGGTTCGTTGCGGTCTGTGCAGGGTGGTGGTCCACTGAAGCAATATGCACAATTCGTTCATCAACTTCCCTGTTTATGGACATTTGGGCTGTTTCCAGATTAGGGTGATGATGAAGAAAACTGCTCTGGACATTTGTCTACAAGTCTTCCTGTGGACACAGGTTTCTCATCTCTTAGGTAAATACTCTAGGAGTGAAGTTGCTGGTAAGACGGTAAGTGTAGACTTAACTTTATAAGAAACTGCCAAACTGTTTTACAAAGTGGTTGCACCATTTTACATTCCCACCGGCAACGGGTGAGAATTCCTGTTGCCAGTATGTGGAATTTTGTACACCCCAAAACGCAGGCTGTTATTCCATTTACTTTAAATTCCACAACATGCAAAATTAACCTGTCAGTTCAGTGGTTGCCTGTTTGTGGGGCGTCGGGGGCATCTGACTGCGGAGGGTCACCAGGAGTGCTGGCCTGGATCAGAGTGGTCATTACCCAGGTGGAGAGAAACTCGTCAAAACTCACTGAACTGTATACTTGAAATGGTTTATTGTATTGTGTGGAAATTATACTGAAATAAAGTTGATTTTAAATGCCTTCTGTAACAACAACAAAAGCATCCCTGAATTACCAAGAATCCCTAGTGATTATGTGTTTTCTTAATCAGTGGATTCTAAGAGTGCCTCTCACCTTCAGGGACGTTTGATCACAGGATCAAACAGTCCTGTGACGTGGAGAAGCTGAGCCTCTGCTGGGTGACTTCAGAAGTCCTCCATATGCTCCTATCCCATATATACTGCCCGGTGGCAGAGTATTCTATGGTGCTGTCACTGAATTGCCTGGATCTCACTCTTGTCCCTGATCCTCTCCTGCTCTGACTGGCGGTGCTGTGTCATCACCATGACATCCACCTGGTGTGACCTGAGCTGTCAGTTTCCTCGTATGGCCCCGATTTCTGCCACTGTCATTGCTGCTCTCGTGGGCTGGGCCCTCCATTAACTGGAAATAAAGCCAAGGTGGCTGAGGGGCCCAGGGTGTCCAGGTAGCTGTCAGGGTGGGGTCGGGATGGAGGCAAACACCCCCCTCTCTACACCCACACTTCTCACATATCCACTGTGAGTTGTCAAAGGCAAAATATGAGCAGCCAGCATTTGCTGCTCAAAGAATGTTCACAGCAACCCCACCAACGTAGTGCTACTAAGGCCCATATTTTAAAGGCGAGGGAACAGGCTGAGAGACGTCAACTGAGACTTGCTTAAGGTCACATAAGTATTGGAGCTGGGGTGCTAATTCCCAAGCCCGAATCGTTTGATCCTGTTCAGGAAGGGGTAAATCTGGAATCTGATACGGGAAAAAAGCACATTAATAATTAGTTATTAACACGTTTTGATTTCCCAGAGATCCCCTGGGGTTGGTGGTTAAGTTTTGGGAGGCCTGTTTTCTTCCTGGCTTGGGGCGCATCTAGGGTCACTGCAACCCCTTGTGGTCACGATGGGGACTGCACCTTCCCGCAGTCCCAGCATCCAGCTCCCACTACCAGGGAAGCGCCCTCAGTCCAAGGATGAAAAATTCTGCTATAACTGGGCTGGCTGATTTCCACGGCTGGGAGAAAGACTTTCACTTCCCCTTCTAGCATTCCCACCCCCCTTGGCTGAGGGTCATCGTAAGCGATGGGTGCTTCATGCAGGAAGTCCGGCTGCAGTCCCTCTCCCTGCCACTGCTTCTTCCCCAGTCTCTGCACCCCTCTCCCACCCTGCCAGGTAATGTTGGCTGATGCTGCCTCTGATTATTTTTTCTCCACATGACTCTCCTCTGTGGGCGGAGGGAAATGCGGATGCTTCAAATGAATTTGCCTCGAGTTTCCTCTTTGTAATTTCAGCTGAGCTGATCTTATCTCTGCCACATTAGGAACTACAGGACCTGGGGCAAGTCACCTAACCTCAATGAGCCTCTTCTGCAAAATGGGGATGTGGACATGCCAGTGATTTTTGTGATGATTAAACGAAATGCTGCATTTAAATGCATTTTGAAAACTGTAAGTATACAAATGTAGTTATAAGAAAATGTTTCTCCTTCGCTACTTACAGTAAGAGATGATGGCTTGTCTAGGGGACATCTCACACTCTCTTCCTTTTTACGTATGTTGGACCTGGATCACGGGGGAGGTGGGGGTGCGGTGTCCATGGTGGGGGTGGGCAGGAGACGAGAACTTCCATAACCAGGAGGAGGGTCAGGCCCATCATCAGATCCAGGGAATGCCATCTATCCTTCCTGTAGGGACCCTACTGTGTTTATTACAATGTTGCTTCATTCCAGGAGGTGGGGTTTCAGGGCTTGTAGACCCTTTCTATTTATGGTCACTTTGAATCTTCGTGGATGTCCTGAGACAGGGTTGATAATACCTGTTTGCTTTGTTACAGATGAAGAAGCTGCTGATCAGAGAAGGTAAATGATTTTCTTAAGTTTGCGGGGTAGCAAAGTTAAGTTAGAATGGGGCTCCTTCCTTTCCCACAGACACAGAACAGGGGCTTCCAAGCTTTTTGCCCATGAGCCACAGTAAGAGATCCCATATGCACAGCACATACACGAACGTACAAATGAAGCAGAAGCACCGAGAAACAATACCCTGATCGTGTACAACGCACCGAATTCTGTCCAGTTCATTAATGAAGTGCTATTTATTCACAGCTCATTAAGTTACTTTCTGCAGGGCACCGCACAAGTATGGGGTCCCTGTACTGGGAGTTCTCGCCACCTGGCCGGGCCATAGCTGATGACAGCCAGATGACCCCAGAGAGAAAGTCTGTGCAGCCTGAAGCAACAGGACAACCCTTCAGGTCCCCAAGGCTGTCTTGCCTGTGGTTTCCCACCTGTATAAGTGCCAGCCTCTCTCCCTAGTCGAGCGAACACCCAGTGTCCCTGGGGGCCCACAGGACGCCGAACAAGCCCTCTGACTGACGGACTGGTGTGTGGAGCAGCAATCTTCACGCGCTGCCTCTGGGAGAGGCGGGGGCCTCCTTTATCCCGTTTACTGGGTGGAGAGAGTGGCCGTGCAGGCTCCACAGTTACACATGCTGAGTGACACTAGCGGAGACGGAGGGAAGGACAGTCTGGATCAATGCCATGTCTTTGTTTTCCTCTTTGAAATAAATTGGGGGGGGGGAAAGGTTGCATTGCAGTCCCCAGGGTTTTGCTTTGGATTTTCGTTTGTGAGCAGCGATTCATAGTGAAGCCACCAAGAACGACTTGAAGGACCAATATATAAAGTAACAGCTTCACACTGACATGGACATTTAAAAATGTTAGAATGTTCACTAGATGTGGCAGTAGACTGCTTCATTCTGTGATGTGGAAATGCCTTTGAACCACTGTGAGTGGGCATGACAGTGTAAATACGTAGGAGCCTATGACGAGAATATGCGCTTTAGGTTTAGACAGGCCCGGCCCACGCGGCCTGCGGGGCAGGGCAACCTCACGTCTAATCTCCCTGATCGTCAATCGCCTCCTATCAAGTCGGGAAAACGCCCTGACCAGACAGGTCGGCTGTGAGGATTAAATAAATGTGTAATCGAAGTATTAAATCAATTCATTAGATCTCCTTTTCACTTTAGTAAACATACTTTTGTTTAGTAAACATACTTTTGTGTCTGTAAGTCGTACATATGTTTATGTGTCAGGTTTCATGTGTTTCACACCCTGTTTTATAAAAATAAGATGCAAAACATTCTTTCAATATGGTTTTTGAAGAGAGAAAAAAGAATATTAGTTTTATTTTACAGGTGAAAAATAAAATACTAGTTTTATTTTACAGGAGGAGAGTGAGTGAAGCACCACAGCGTGCCTGACGTCTGCTTTTAAAGCTCCCAAACCCTGTGAAGGCTGTGGCACCCTTGCCAACTCTGATTCCAGGCAGTGACTTACCCGAGCGGGTGGGGGGCCAGCGCCCTCGGGAGACACGTGCCCACGCTTAGTGGCTCTGCCTCCCACCAGGACCCTGGCGTATCCGGGCCGTGGAAGCCCGGGAGGCGGGAGGAGAGGCTCACCTTTCTTTTCCTGGGGATGGGCTCGTCGAAGAGCAGGTTGCCAGCCTCGGCTTCGTCGATGCCGTCGTCGGGCGCCGGGCTGCGGAAGGGCTTGGCGCAGTCGGCGGACAGCGGCGGCGACGGCGTGGACGGGTTGGACTGGTCGCTGGGGGCGCTCCAGCTCCAGTAGCCGCTGCTGCAGCTGCTGGACGGGGCGCCGCCGTCCTTCCAGGACCCGCTCAGGCCCTCTGCGGGTGCAGACAGGCAGGGTCAGTGCCAGTGGGGTGCAGGGCCTGGGGCGCGGCACCCGCCTGGACCCTCCCAGGCACCTGCGCCCACCCAGAAACGTGCCACAGCTGGGGGCGCACTATGCATACCTCGGGGAAAGAGCTGCATCACCCTTTACAAACACTGAGCTATTTTAATCACATGACAGGTCTTCCTAACCGTTTTCGGATATGGGTGGTTTTGGGCATGTCTTTCCTTAGGATGACAGTGGAGATGATATGAAAACAAGTTAAAAGATGACCTCGTTCACCGAGGTTGGGGAACTCTGGGTTTACTGAGCATGTTTCTAAGAGGGAAATGATTTGCAATATTGCCCCCCTCCCCCACCCCCTATTTTAACTTCTAAAAAGGAATTTCTTATAGGTCCGAGATCTTTGGAACAGCTTTATGGGAAAAGTTAGTCCAAGATGTAAGAATCTAAGAGAAATAATAATTTCTGGATAGTTACCTAAAGCCAGTGACCTATAAGAAATAACAGTGCTTTGCATTTGGTGTTTTGCATCTCACAAAGCTCTTCACAGTCTCATGTGTTCTGAAAACATGTGTCTCTCAGAGCAGAGGCTGTCCCTGCTGGTTTTACAGAGGAAGACCCGAGTCACCGGGAAGTTAAGCGACTTGCAGCTGATCATAGGTGAACCGGGGCCCAAACCCTGGTCTACCAGTTGGCCGTCTTTCTCCTTCAGTCATGGGTCCTGTGTTGTAGGAATCCTCCTTTTTCCAACAAAGCTCAGATCAGAGAAGAATTTATCGGTCATAATTACTGAGAAGATGGCTGTTGAATTTTACCTTTCCACGTGGGGGGGAACATGAAATGTCTGCTGATGTGAAGAGATCTTCGCCCAGCTAGAATGCCTTTGGGATGCTCTTTTAATCACTGAAGACCTGCCTTCCCTTGTAAGATGCCTGGTTTTAATTAGCTTTTGTATAAACTCGACCTTCTTTTCGGATAATTTCTCTTCCACATTTATGTGCATTTTGAATATATTAAAACTATATTCTAAGTACACAGAGGGAGGAAAAATCCCAAAATGCCTCATTAGGAAAATGCTGTTCATATCTGTGCGATTAGTAATGAGGTGAAGACACATAGTGGACAAGCATTCATGGAAAACTGTCTTGACTACCTTCACCCAATTACAGATGTGCAGCATATTCCTCAACTACGTCAAGCAAAAAGTCCAGTTAGAAGAATGAGCTTTAAGTTGAAATCGCAGAAGAAAGTTACCTAGCTCATTAAACAAGGCTCTGACCCAATCAAACGGTCATTTCTGCAGGATCACACCTCCCTGGCACCAACAAAACCAAATTAGCATTCCAGTCCCTGCAGTCAACCGGAGACAGATGTACTTGCCAGACCTGAGTGGCCTTTTATAAAAATAAGACAGCTGCGTACAACACAACAGGACCTCCAGAGGAGCCTCATGGAAGGCCTTAGGTGGTATTACCTGGTGTTACAAATTCCTTGGCAGGCTCAGGAGGCTTAAAAATACACCACGGCATGTACTTGTAAAATAAAATATGTTTGTGGTGTAATCAGGTTAAGTATGAGAAACTGAGTTTATTTTGAAAAGCAACAATTTGTTTTGAAAAGCCGTGTGGTTGCATTGCTTCATGGCAATGCCCAAAGTTAACCTGCTTACTTAGTAATGACATTTCCCTTAAGAAACACTATTTAATGAGAAAGACCATGTGATATAGAAATGAACTTTTCAGAAAAAAGTCAGAACCAATTCATAATATATATATACATATATATATATGTATATATATTTTTAGAGAGAAGTGTCTCCTTATCTTAAACATGTATTTGGCAACAATGCAGACAGGCCCTGCTGGAATCTCACTCTCTTTGCAACCTACTTCCTGACAAAATGATCCTTTCCAGGTACAAAACGACAGTTTTCAAAAATTCACTGATATACAATAATTCTGGACATAATATTTATTTCTTAAAAAATCCAACGCTTTCATTGTCATGAACTGCTTTCCCTCGTTAAGAATTTGCTGCCTGTTGCAGACTTAATGAGCTAGCAGGCAATTTAGGATTATTATTTGGGTAGTTATTTTTTAAAAATCATAATGAGCAGTGAATTACTTTCTTTATAACTATGCTAACAAATGTTTGCATTGAAGAAGCAAAAGGTTTATTTTGATTCTAACCTTTCAAGACAAAGAAACATTAAAAACATTCTTAATTCAAAAAGAATGCCGTGTTAAAAATAATGATTGCATTAAAATATGTTCTTTCTCCTCTGAGGATTCTAGGAAATTCTGCACTTCCTTTTTTTTTTAATTTTGTTTTGTTTTGTGGGTTTTTTGTTTGTTTGTTTGTAAAGCAATGAAAATCTACAATTTATTTGCATCTGGTGGCCCAGCTTGGGACAAAGTAAATACTTGTTTGTAACATCGAAGAATTTTTTTCTATTAACTCTTCCATGTCTTATGCAATTCCTTTTTCCTAGGATTGGCTTTGGGGGTATCTTCAGTTTTGCTTTTACTGCAGTCTCTCTTTGGCGGCATTGCCACCCAGAGCAAAGTAAATCAGGATGCTTGTTAAAGAGGCCCCGAGAAGAGGGGTGATGTCACTTAACAGCAAGGGTAGGGCCCATCTCACAGTCACTTCACCCGCTCCAGGGCTTGTGATGGTCATGATGGGGGTCGGGCGCTACTGTTTTACTGTATTGATCTGACTTCCCAGCACCCTGATCACTCTGCACACCTACAATTGGAGAGGAGTAGCTTTGGTGAGGACTCACTGGATGTTCAACACATTTATTTTCACACCTCGCACTTACTACCAAATTACGTGTGAAGATCCCGCGATCTCTTTACTAACTAGGCTGGCTTTGGAGAGAAGCTGTTCCCTGGTGGTCACTTTCCCTCCGTGGTCTCGGTGCGTTATAGTTCAGTCCACTGCAGCCTGACTGCCGCAGTGGGTGGTCCACTGTGAACGCTCCTGCCAGATCTCCGTGACCTTCATTGGATGCAGAATTCAGTCTGTTTTACGCTTGAGCTTCTGAAGCATCAGGCATCTGTCCTTGAAACTCGTTTTTCCCTTGGCTTCCATGAAAGCGCACTCTCCGAGCTCTCCTCCACCTTGTCACCCTCAGGCTCCTCCTGGGTTCTTTTTCCCTGCTGATCCCTTAGGTGACGGTGGGCCTCACCCCTGCCCCCTCAGTCTCCTCCTGGTCTTCGCTCGCTGCCTCTCTGTGCTCTAATCTAGTCTCACGGCTTCAAAATGCTGCCTTCCAATTCGGCATGGGCGGCCCGGGCCTCCCCAACACATTGCCCTTGAGTGAGCCTCAGTATTGCCCACTACATGTCTTCAAACTGGACCTGTCGTCTTCAGTGACCCCGGCTCTTGCCCCAAACACTCACCAATAGACGTGCTCCTCTGCCTTTGTTCCCATCTCAGGGAGCGGGTCTCCTTGTAGAAGCACACCGCCTGCCTGGAAGTCACCCTGTCACTCCCTGTCCTTCATCTTCTTTGTCCATCACCACGTCCTGTCGATTCCTCCACCCTCACACTTCCCAGTTATGTCCTGTCCATCCCTTCTGTGACCACCTAGGCTCAGGACACCCACATGTAATTTTTCATTGTTGTAGTTTCTTTTTTGTTTTTGTCTGTAAACTCAACTGTAACTTTCCAGTGCCGAAATCACGTAAGAGCTCTCCTGCAGCCCCGGATGGCTGTCCACACTCCTAGCCAGGTTGCCAACGGCATCTCCTTCTGCCCTCCTGATGTCTCATACTGAGGTATGTGAGGCCACATTAAGTCATAACTGAGAGAACAGAACTGGAATTGGGAAGGTATCGAGGAGAATTTCAGCTCTGCTATTTACAAGTCAATTATTCCCCATGTGCCTCTGTTTACTCATCTGTAAGCTAGTGATAACGACAGCTCATAGAGTTGTGAGAATTACAGGAGATAAAGCAAGCCTAGTACTTGGCACCTAGCAAGTGCTCAGTAAATGCTAGCCATTGATAAGGCTGTGGCTGAGAGTCTTTTTCCCCCCTCCAGAGAGACTGAACACTACATGGAGTATGGACATTATTGTCAATGATGTACTCAAACCATCTAAGCATAGTACCTAATAAACATATACTGAGTGAATGAATGGAAAAAGTAATTGTATTTGATTGAGGAGTCTGGGATAATGCTTTTTCAAAATATTTAATCCTCAGGGCTCTGTGATACATCTACCTCTCCTGCCGAACAGAAATGATGCTGGGAAAACAACTTCATTCGACCAATCTCCACTTCCCCGGGGAAAGGGAAAAGTACTGCAGATAAGTGTCCTGGCAACGTGACGTGGGGGAGCAGGTGGGGGGATGACTGAGGCGCACTGGGGCCTCTGGGAAGGTGAGGGAGCTGGTGGCCCTGAGTCTCCATTTCTCCCACATTTCCCTTGGCTTCCTGCCCACAGCGAGGGTTCATTTCATTTGATAGGAATGAGACCCCTATGAGGCCCCTCAAAGGGAGGCTGTGGTCTTGGCACCCAGGGGCCCTTCCCTACCCCATCCCCGGGCTCACCATTAGGCCGCACAGGAGGGCTCCGAACCAAAGGGCTGGTGGACAGGCTGGTGAGTACCATGGCTGCTGTCACCTTGTCCATGTCCAGTTCCTCCGAGGATTTCCTGGAAAACAGGGAGGGACACTGTTAACAGTGCTCGCTCGGCATGGGCTGTGGGTCACGCCAGTACCACAGCTGCCACCCACGTGTACTCCCTGAACTTATCCCCTTGAAAATCCAGTGTGTTGTTAGCTTTATCGTAGAGATAAAGAAGCTGGGTCCAGCGGTTAAGTGATCGGGTCAAAACCCTACAGTGTTAGAAAGGGGATTCACCCATTGGCCATCCATCTAACACGTGTTCACTGAGGGTGTATTACACACTGTTCGCACACACGGGGGACACGTGAAGGAGGGCAGACGAGGCTGGCGGGGAGAAACACAATGATCAGGAAACAAACAAAAAGGGACAGAGCAATTTCTGATAGGGACGAGTGCTGGGAAGGTCATCAAAGGGCTGCCATGCCTGACTGTGGTCAGCAAAGGCTTCTCAGAGGAGGTGACATCTGAGGTGACATGTGAGGGGGCGGAGAAGGCAGCCCTGAGGAGATGGGAAACCACCCCAGGCAGAAAGGGCAGCTGGGTACAGTCCCCACAGAGGAATGAGTGCTGGATATTTGAAGAAAGACCCCATCAGTGTGAGAAGGGGGCAGGGCTGGACACGGGGTCCTGTGGCCATGGGAGGTGATCCAAACTTATTCTAAGTGTTACAGGTAGTCACTAGAGGGACTTAAGCAGACCTAGTGACATAACAAGATTCATATTTTTAAAAATAATTACCGAGGTGCTCTCTGGGGAATGGACTGTAGGGAAGACGGGGCAGAGGCCAGGAGGCCAGGGAGGAAAGAATTGCTAGAAGCCAAGATAAGAGGGGATGGTGGCTGGGACGAAGGTTGGGGCAGTGGCAGGTCACCTGGCAGGACTGACTGAGACACTGGGTGTGCAATGAGTAAAAGGGGTGACTCAGGATGGCTCCCAGGTATTGAATGTTAACTGGAGCCATCTCGGAGATGGAAGAGAGAGGCGGGGAAACGCAGAATCCAGCGAGCTGCTCTCCTGCACTTTGCAGGAGGGGGACAGGGTAGAGCAGCCGAGGCCGCGTGGTAGAGTGAAGACCCTGCTGTAAAGGGAAGACCATGCCCTAAAGTGAAGAAGACCGTGCCCTAAAGAGAAGACCATGCCCTAAAGTGAAGACCATGCCCTAAAGTGAAGAAGACCATGCCCTAAAGTAGAGAAGACCATGCCCTAAAGTGAAGAAGACCATGCCCTAAAGAGAAGACTATGCCCTAAAGTGAAGACCATGCCCTAAAGAGAAGACCATGCCCTAAAGTGAAGACCATGCCCTAAAGTGAAGAAGACCATGCCCTAAAGTGAAGACCATGCCCTAAAGTGAAGACCATGCCCTAAAGTGAAGAAGACCATGCCCTAAAGTGAAGACCATGCCCTAAAGTGAAGACGACCGTGCCCTAAAGTGAAGACCATGCCCTAAAGAGAAGACCATGCCCTAAAGTGAAGACCATGCCCTAAAGTGAAGAAGACCATGCCCTAAAGTGAAGACCATGACCATCACTCACTGAGACTGATGGCCTACTCTGGTTCGTGAATTTTGGCTGGTTAACCTCGAATAAAGGCTCACAAGATAATGATCATTGCGGCCCGGAGTCGGCTTGTTTACGCTGATTTCACCAAAGTTAAAATCACCGACATTGGGTAAATTGTACCACCTTCTAGGACATGAACATTTTAAACTGGGGGACAGTTGAAGACCCACCACAGAGGATTAATAAGCCATATGGACAAATGAATGGTCACGGTGACAAATGCAGTTTCATTCACAGGTGTGTTGTCTAATTTGTAAAAGTAATAAAGTCAGAGAGATAGAAATTTTACAGCAGCACAGCGGGAAAAGATTCCTGAATCAGAGAAAAACCAAATTGTTTCCAATTTTGGGCATGGGGCTGCTCAAGTAATTTCATGGTGAAGTTATAAAAAGTACTACAATTTGGCTCTCCAACGACCCCCAGGATGTTAAATTACTAAGCAAAGCTTACTCTCCCAACCCAAGCCGGGAATCTGAAGTTTCCTTCTGCGGTTCTTCTCAAAGCACCTCACACTCTTTCTTGGAAAAGTGTTCCATTGAAAGACTAATACTTTCTTCAGAGACTGGCAATTAAAGATGCTTCTAGAAAGCAAGCTTGTGAGTACACAGTGCAATTTACTCTGCAGTTTTCAAGACGACCTCATACACCAGGGGAAAAACTGCTCAGTCACTCGGCACACTGTGAATGGGCTACAACATCCACAGTTCACAAGATCTCGGACTTGGGAGTGAAGGCGAGGCCAGTTTCCTTCAGAAACGGAAGCATTTTGGAGAAAACTTAAAGGACTTTAAGGTCATTGATGTTCACCCCCTGCCCCCATGTAGGCATGTCAGGGGGAGGTGGAACTAGGGGCCTCGAAGGAGAAAGGCTTGCTGGATACACTGCCGTCGGCTGGCTGCCCACCGTGAGCCCAGCTGACACCATCGCTCCACAACCGGTGTGGGGACAGGAGCAGGCCACACTCATCTGTCCCAGGACTGAATTACAGAGGCTGCTGACTGCTCTTTCCAACTCTGTCTTCTCTTTTTCTCTTTTTAACAAAATGTTTGAGAGCCAGGATAAGAGGCCGAGGAGCCGGGTGCTGGGAAAGGCAGGACTCCACAGAGACAGGGTCCCCTGCCCTCTGCCCTGATTCCTTCAGGGACGTACCCCATGTTCACATCTTTTCTACTCCTTGGTTTCGGGGGCCTTTGTTTTCTCTTCCACAATCTGCTTTGCATCTTTTCTGATTTTTCACATCTAAAGTTTGTTTCAGAGGTCTAGTTGATAATTAACTCAAAAGCTGATCTATGTTTTTTGTTGTTTTTTTAAAAAAATGAAGATTTAATAAAGTATCATAAAACATGCGTTTTTTTGCATTGCCAAAGTCTGCCACTACCTTTCAAGACAAAGCAGATTCCCGGTGAAATGTGAAATGCAGACCACTGTTAGCATCATCAGAGTTTTGGATTTGCACGACCCCCACGCTTCCCATTCGCACTTGTGGTCACTGAGGACAAAGTACCAAAGGCCCACCCGGCTCACCATTCCCTTAACCTGTGTTTCTTAGGGAGTATTTTCATCACGCTGCAGGGAACATTACCGGGTGCTACAGCCCTGTGCTGAGTTGTATTTTTGTTTTTTTTATCTTTGTTTAATTTCTTTTGGTACAGTGCTAATTACTGATTAATTGGTTCTGCAAATGCAAATCCTTATAATTAAACACAAAGAGATGATACACCAAGTAGAATTTGTTACACTTTGAGAAAGCTGTTGCAGAGCCCTTCTGGAAGATTTAGGGCTGTTGAAGAAAAAACCCAGCTCATTCTAGATGATACGAAATGTTTTCTCCTGATTGGACTGATTGGAAGCTGAATTTGCACCTACTGTTGAAGACCTTCCCAATCGCACGTTTGTAACAGGCTGAGGCCTTTTCAAAGTAATCTTTCCTCCCAGACTTGGTTGAGTATTATGGAAATTAATATTTAGAATTAGTTTAAAAATAGTCATATTCATTGCCATTCTATGTGTGCTTTGTCGCTCTGGCTGTCCTGGCTTTGATGGCTGAGTAAGATTTTCAGATGGGAGAGTCACATTTCAGGCAGGAAACAGGGGAGTCCTTGGCTTGCAAACAGGAGTTCCGGTCAGAGGATGCAGTGAGAGAGAAGAGGGGACGGAGCCTGGGCTGGTTCTCAGGCCTCACGTGCCCGGCTAAGTGGTTTTTCGTGTTCTTGTAAGCAGAGAGAGCCACTGAACATTCATGAACCCGGGAGAAAGGTAGCTGATCAATCTGGATTTTAGAAATGGTTCAAAATGCAAATGGTAATGGAAAGGGTAGAAACTGAAGGTGGGCTATGTAGCTATTTTTAGTTATATCTTAACTCAAACCCAAAGTACTATAGACTAAGAGACAACTGTTCTTCTATGAACAGACGTTATTTAGTCTGCGAGTACAGCACACCCTTGATATGGGCTAAGGTCTCTGGGAGAAAAGAGATTGCCCAGCTGGGGGCAGGGAGCAGCTCTGCAATGAGTTACATTGTGTGGCTTCAAGTCCACTCTCTGCCATGACTGGCTGTGTGACCTTGGAGAAATTACTTAACCTCTCTGAGTCTCCGTTTTTTCGACTGCAAAAGTAGGGTAAAAACAGATCTGTTGAGAGGATTCAATGAGAAAACATCTGTGAGCACAGGCAGAGTCTCACCTGCAGCCAAGGTTCCACGGTCACGAGCCCTCAACCCTCGCACTCACGCGTCCGCCCACGGCATCTATCCCACACTCGAGGGGCGTAGCCAATGGCTCTCCTCGCACTTCTTACGGGGCACCAGCCCTAGCAGGTGTTGCTTTCCTTTTTTTGGAGGGAGGGTGCTGTTGGTGGTGGTGTTTTTCATAAAGAACCAAACTGTTCCAACTTCACAGGAGTTACTCTGTGAGAGGTGACAACCAGCACATGAAGCAGCAGCTGCCGCTTCCCTCACAGGGGCTTCGAGGCGGTGCCTTGGCCAGGATCCAGCTCATGACATCATGGCTCTGGAGGACCGTCCACACTGCCAGAGCCCTATTGCATCTGGATTTATGTTCCTGAGTTCCTGCTTTCAACCTGCACCCTTAGAGGACTAGCTCTGAGCGAGGGGCTCTTATGACACTGCAAATAGAGTCTCAAAGAAAACCCAGCAGGCCTTGCCTTCTTGAGATCTAGGCTGTTCTAGAACTAGATCCTAATCAAACCTACACAAATTAACATAAACCTACAGATGTGACAAAAGCCAGGAAGGGTGGTATGGGCTTGGTTTGGATCTACGTAGGTCCCCAGCTAAGGGAGCCTGGAAGTGACCCTTGGCCTTGCCTAGCTGGGGGCAGAGGAGCTCTGGGGGGCAGTGCCAGAGTGTGGGCCAGGCCGCTGTGCACTGGGACAGGGGACAGGCCCCCGGGAGTACTGAGGTGTTTTAAGCGGACTGGGCTTCGGAGAGGTCAGGTCAGACTGGGG